TCACTTTGATTCTTTTATTCCTCTGTATCAAAGTAAGTAATGAACTTGAATGATGTAGGTGGGTCTTCTTTCTATGTGTTGCTTTCATTGGTTAATTAATAAAGAAAACTGCTTGGCCTGATAGGTCAGAACATAGGTAGGCAGAGTAGACAGAACAGAATGCTGGGAAGAAGGGAAGTGAGGCAGACGCCATAGCTCTCCTCTCCGAGATGGACGCAGGTTAGAATCTTCCCAGTAAGCCACCACCTTGTGGTGGTACACAGATTATTAGAAATGGGTTAATCAAGATGTGAGAGTTAGCCAGTATGAGGCTAGAAGCAAATGGGCCAAGTAGTGTTTAAATGAAGTTTCCATGTAATTATTTTGGGGCATAAGCTAGCCAGGCAGTTGGGAGCCGGGTGGCAGGAACACAGTCTGCTGCTCTTTCTACACTTGAATTTGGAGCTGCACATTCTTTGGTCTCAAAGATTATTTCAATAGAGGAAATTATCTGGATAGATGTGCTATTTTCATAGAGAAGATGAACCAACAGAATCACCCCTAAAGAGAAGACACAGGAAGGCACTACATCTCAGGGAACAGGGTCTTTGTAGGAACAACATTGTTTTAAAGGTAGTGCTGAACTCAAACGAATTTTTGTTTGGAATAACTACACATCTTGTCTTTTGGCATTTCACTACATTTTTGTTTAATCCCAGAACTTTTTTGTTGAATTTGGAGCTTTCTGCTTTTAGCCAGTTGTATGGTTAAATGTAGGAATGTGTCCTTCTTTCTCATAATCCAGTCAGCACGTAAAGAATAAAACCCACAGACCACTTACTGGAGTCTTGCTACTGGGAGGGAAAGCTAACCCAATTCCTTGTACCCAAAGCATGGCCCAAGGACCAGCTATATCAGGATCATCTGGGAGCTTGTGAGAAAAGTACCATTTCAGCCTGTACTCTGGACCTGAGGGATCAGAATCTGCAGTTTAAGAAATTCTTTGGTGATTCATGTACACATTACGGGTTCATGTGCACTGTGTTGACTTAGTGGTCTTGAAGCTGAGTGTTCAGCAGAGTCACTTGAGGGCAGCTGACTAGAGCAGAGGTTGCAGAGGTGGCATCTTTAGTTGCTGATGGACTAGATCTGGAATGAGACCTGAAAATTTGTGTCTAACATGTTTCCAGGTGACGCTGATAGACTGGGACCCACACTCTGAGAAATATTTGTTTAAATTACTCCCCCTCATTTCTTGGTTAGTTTTTGTCAATTTGACACATTTGAGAAGAAGGACATTCAAAAGAAATAAAAAGGTCCCCACCAGATTGACCTGTGGGACATTTTCTTGATTCATGGTTAATATAGGAGGGCCCAGTACACTGTGAACAGTGCCACCCTTGGGCAGTAGTCCTGGGTTGTACTAGAAAGCAGGCTGAAGCATGCACAGGGCCTGCACAGGTCTACACCATGTCTCCAGCACATATATTATGGCTTCAAGCTTAGTTTCTCCATGTGTGTGAATGAATGGGTCTGTGTTTCTTGTGCCTCCTCCTGGGTTTGTCCCTTCCTTTGGTTGAGTTGTTGTCTCCAACTTCGATGTTTTTATCTTACTATGTTTTATTTTGTTAAAAAAGGAACGAATGAACGAACGAATGGATGGTTGAAAACCTAGCCTCTAGGGTAAAGGATAACAATTGAACTCTCACCCCTGCTGAAAAAGGGAAAATCAGTTTTCTCCAATGGAGTGACACATAGCATATCAAGCCCTCTAGGACAACAGTGGTCTGTGTGTGCTTTTGTTGGTTAGAGTTTTATGGGGTTTATTTATTTATTTATTTGATTGTTTTTACAGCCTGACCACAATTTCCCCTCCGTTCTCTCCTCCAAGCCCCCCCCCCCACCTCACCTCCATCCATTCCTCCTCCACTTCTCTTTAGAAAAGGACAGGCCTCCCATGTATATCACCTAGCTATGGCTATCAAGTTGCAGTGAGACTAGACACCTCCTTTTCTATTAAGGTTGGACAAGGCAACCCTGTAGGAAGAAAGGGTCCCTAAAACAGGCAACAGACTCAGATACAGTCCCCGCTCCTACTGCTAGAATTCTCACAAGGAGTTTGGCGGATTATTTTGTTTTGGTTTTGTTTCTTTCCTTTTGGGTATTGTTTTATTGCTTTGGGGGAGTTTTGTTGTATTGGAGTGTTGCTTATTTTTTGAGGCAGAACTTAAAGACTAGTGGATAAGGGAGGGGAGAGGATCTGCAAGGATTTGGAGATGGAGAAGAATATGATCAAAATAAATTTAAATTTAAAAAATATTTTAAATAATAAAAAGAAAAGAAGAAAAAGAAAGAAGGAAAAAAGGGAGGAAAGGAAAGGAAAAAAAAAGAAAAGAAAAAAAGCAAGCCGAGTAAGCCAGTGTTCCTCCACAGTCTCTGCCAGCTTCTGCATGGAGTTCCTGTCCTAACTTGTCTCAGTGACGGAGTATGAACTAAGAGTTGTAAGATGAAACAAATCCTTCCCTCCCCAGGTTGCTTTCGCCCAGGATATTTATCACAGCAACAGAAACACAGCTCCGATGGTCACTAGCTGAGGAACATCAGACGTTCTCCTGACAGCTCCAGGTTTCCTTCTTTACCACACTGAAACCATTGCAGCCCCCATCTGATTTTGTGAGAATTCCACGAGATTTTAGAAAAGCAAGCACTGCCCCCACACCTGGCCACAGATCGTGCTATTCCGGGCTGCACATCTCCTGGCACAGCAGCATGAGCCTGCAGCCTGTGAGAGATGCAGTCTCGGACCCCACCTCTGCCCTGCTGGGTGAGACCCTGCATCTTCACAAGACCTCCAGCCTGGAAGTGCATGTGTCACTGTACCAAGAGACACATTGTCAGCAGAGAACCTTCCTGAACACACAGGGCCTTACCGCTCAGTTCATCCCAGCTAAGGATAACCAGGTCTCGGAGCCGCACAACAGGCATTTCCAAGCTTGACTCCCTGGATCCTCTTGGGTGTCTCCACTATCTCAAATTCTAGCCACGTGTGGAGGATGTTATCGCCTATCTCAAGCTAGAATGAGCACGGTTTTGGAGAGGCCAGTGAGATGCCAATCACATAAACCTCACATCCAAAATGCACTTGCCTCCCAATTCAGCATGAGAGGAGAGAAAAAGCTTCTATAGTTGAGGGTACAGTTCAGTGAGAGCCACTTGCCTGGCATCGGTGAGATCCTGGGGTCAGTCCCCAGGGCTTGTGACCTCGTGATTTGCTGGCTCGCCTTGTTGGTTGCTTCTGTTTCCTACCCATGCTGAGGTTCTACTTGTACCTCTGTGGGCAGGACGGGGGTAGGAAAAAGAAAGCATGGGAACAAAGGCACACAGGGTACATAGACTTCAACAAGGGAAGAAAAGAGACTGCCAAGGAGAATGATTTGCTTCCAGAGAGGAGAGCTGCTGGTTCCTGTCGGAACAAATGGTGCAGCTGAGTTCCCAACGCAGAAGTCAGCCCCCTCAATGTTCTGGCATGTGAGCCTTTGGGAACAAACTACCATTTTGGAATCATTACCATTTGCAGCTATTTTATTGTATGAAGCAAATAAAACTGAAGCCTTCCTGAGCATTCTAATGAACAAAACAACACAGAAGCAGCTTCAGCGGACTTGGGGAGTAGTCACACTGGGGTGTTTTTTTGTGCATATTTCTGAACAGTGGAAGCTGAAAAATAATCGAGTGGGAAACCTAAATAACAAGATGCATGTGCTAATGAATACAAATTCTGGAACATTCTTGTGAGCCCATCATTCCCTGGTGAAAGCAGCACATAAGTTGAAGGCTAATTTTATCACTGAACTTAGTCTCTGCCAACTCTTCCATTGTGATATAAGGAGTTTGTTTTCATTTCATTAGACTTCCCAGACCAGGATCACTTTCTTGCCTTGAGCCTGAAGAAAGCGGAGAACCCATAAACAAGCCATCATCCCAAATACCAGCTGCCAGATTTACACCATCCGTTAGAGTGGAAATCAATCTAGTGGCATTCGTTTGACAGCTGAACACTCAGGGATGGTAAGTAATTCCTCCAAGGTCCTAGCCAGTCCAAGCTGGAGATTGGCTGGAAGGTCTGATCGCCGCTGTAGCCTTTTGATATAAAACCTGGGCATAAAAATTGAAAGTTCTTACTGGGTAGATTTGAAAATTTTCTGTCTTGGCTTTGCTACTAAAGTACCCTTCTCTTCCTGAATCTTAAGTAGTGTCAGCTTCTAAATATAACACCAAGGTTATTATGCCCCTGGATGCAGAACTAACTTTGGGGAAAATGGGTCTCAGTCAGACCTTTATCAAAAGCCTACTTGTGAGAACTGGCAAGTCGAAGACTGAGAAGAGAGCCCCCTTGGGTAATCCCACACTTCAATTCATTTAGAGAGTAAGAACCTTGAGAAATTTGCTTCCTCCCTCCCCCACTTCCAGATATGTCAAAATTCAACACAACAGGAAAAAAAGAATCAAACAGTAATTACCTCTAAAAGGAAAAGGAAGTTGGGAGCTGAGTCTGGGAAGAAAGGGGCAGGAGGAAACCTTCCAGAATAAATATAACAATTCATTTTCATAGGACTTGGGGTTAGGGTGTGATAGAAATGTATCAAAACTCATTGGATGATCATCTATATTTGTATGTTTCATTATATGTGCAGTTTAGCTAAAATACAATCCTATATAATAGAAAAATCCATCAAGAAAATATTCAGGACACAATAGCACTAATAGTTAAAAATAGTACTGTTGAATTCTACCATCAGTTCCTGCCATCAGCCTTACCAGCCATGGTATATAAACATCTTTGATCACTTCTGCAGAGGAGTGAAATTTCCAGAAGCCAAAATGTGTACAGAAAGAAGAGGACATATGTTCTTGGCGATTGCCTCTGTTAGCACTGCCAGAAAACCAGGTCTTTGTCCTTGAATGGAAGTCAAGTTTTATAGGTTGGCTGTGTGCAGCAAGTGGGGGGAATACCAACTTACAGAAACTCTGAAGTTCTTTCTATGAAGAATTCCCTGCAGAGCAGTAGGGACTTGGCATCTTGGGTTCTCTGATGTCTTCTTCCAAATAAATGTGGAATTGGGTCCAGACACTAGAAGAGAGGAAGAGAAGCCTACTTCAGTACGACATGAAGTGGGACATAATAGTTTGGGAGGAAATGATCAAAGCATGCAGACAAAAAGGAGTTTCCATTGCTTGTGGTGCCACATGCGCATAATCTCAGCTCTTGGGGCGGTAGGCAAGACGAGCAGGACGTAGAGGTCACTCTAGGCTACTTAGCTGGATTGAGGTTAGCTTAGGTGACATGCAAACCTGTCTCAAGAAAACAAAATAGAAGAAATTCCACCAGCATTGACTCATTTGGGGATTTTCTTTACTCCTCGGTTCCCGTTTTTAATATTAGCTGGCAGTAGTTTGAGCATATATCCCCTAAAAGTCCATGTGTTGGAATTTTAATTCCTCAGTATAGTAGCGTTAACAGGTGGGACCCCATGGACAGTGTTTAGTTCACAGGGACAGAGGTCTCATGAATAGATCAACGCCTTTCTTAAATGGATGGCTTAGTTATCACTAGTGTTCAATTCCCCTTTCTTTTTTCCTTACTTGCCCACTTAATCTTCCTCTTTCTGCCACGAGTTGAAGCGCTGCAAGGCCAGCAGCAGGCAAGAAACATGTTGGCACCATGTACTCGGATGTCCTTGTCTTCTAAACCATGAACCAAAATAAACCTACTTCCCTTACAAATTACTAACCCTCGGATATTCTGTTATAGCCATAGAAAATGAACTAAGACATGACCTGTTCTCCCAATTGACCATTTCAACACTGTGAAATTATTTCAAGCATAGAAAAGCGAGACTAACATCACAAAAGCACACTTGTGATCCAGTCTTCTTTTGCAACACAGAGAATTTTGCTTTACTTTGTGATTAGAAATATTCGTAATTAGCCAGGCTGTGGTGGCACACGCCTTTAATCCCAGCACCCTGGAGGCAGAGGCAGGCGATCTCTGTGAGTTCGAGGCCAGCCTGGTCTACAAGAGCTAGTTCCAGGACAGGAACCAAAAGCTACGGAGAAACCCTGTCTCGGAAAAAAAACACACACACACACACACAAAGAAATATTAGTAATTAAATAGTTCAACTGAATATCTGTTTGTTTTTTTTTTAAATAAAATTTATCCCCTTGAGAGTTTCCTTTGTCTTTATGTATTCTTGGATATGGATTTCTTTGGGGGTGATGAAAATGCCTGGGCATTAAAGAGTGTGATGGTTAATCTCAATCAACTTGATGCAATCCAGAGTCACGTGGGAGAGAGATGAACTTCTGGCATGCCTCTGGGAGAGTCTCTTGATTAGGTTAATTGAATTGGGAAGACCTGCCCACTAGAGTTGGAACAATTTCATGGACTGATACTCTGAACCGTCTTTTTTTTTTTTTTTTTTTTTTTTTTNTTTGGTTTTTCGAGACAGGGTTTCTCTGTAGCTTTGGAGCCTGTCCTGGAACTAGCTCTGTAGACCAGGCTGGTCTCCAACTCACAGAGATCCGCCTGCCTCTGCCTCCCGAGTGCTGGGATTAAAGGCGTGCGCCACCATCGCCCGGCTGAACCATCTTTTAAAAAGGAGAAAAAATGAGGCTGGAGAGACGGCTCAGTCATTAAGAGCACTTGCTATTCTTCTAGAGGACCCAGATTTGATTCCAGAACTCATGTGGAGCAGCCGACAACCACCCGTAACTCTATTTCCAGGGGATTGGAAACATTCTTCTGGCCTCTGCTGGTTCCTGAATATATGTAGCATACACTCACAAAGACACATACACATGCATGTACATAAAAACCAAATCCCAAAATAGAAAAAAGAAGAAAGTGAGCAGAGCATAAACATGCATTGCTCTCTGCCTCTCGAGGCCAGACACCATGAGACCAGGTTCCTCAAGCTTTTGCCACTGTCACTTTCAGACCATGATGGACCATGAGCCAGAGGTTTAAACTAAAAGAAACTCTTTCTCCCTTCGGTTGTTTTTCTCAGAGTGTTCTTTTATCACAGAAACGGGAAACACAACTAAAACAGAGGAGAGAGTTTCACAACATTAAGACCTGGAAAGTCTATAGGCTAAAAACTTAAATGTGATGGGGGACTCCCAGCTCCTCCTCCAGCACCATGTCTGCCTACATGCCAGCATGCTTCCTGCCATAAGGATAATGGACTAAACCTATGAACTGTAAGCCAGCCCAAGTTAAATGTTTTCCTTTATAAGCGTTGTTGTAGTCATGTTGTCTCTTCGCAGCAATAAAAATCAAGCTAAGACACCAAGGGTGTGGCCACCTCCAGGCACGGAACAGAGAAATTCCATCTGCTTATGTTATTGTGTGTTTGGAGCGTCTGGTCTACATTGTACAGAGAGTAGGAACATGTGGTCTTCTAAAGTCTTTACACCTGAAGCATCATTCCTTTTGTTTTCTCTTTCTGGCTTCTTCCCTAGCTACTCTTAGCCAACTATTTCAATATGTAATCTTTTCAATATTGACCTCTTTCAAGCATAGAAGACACAGAGAATAATGTAACGAAATCACATTTGTGATACCATCTTGTGTAGACAGATTTTTCTGTCTCATCTGCCAGCTCCTAAATAACCAAGAGGAACTTATAGAAGCTTAGCTGATCGCTTAGGATTGTTTCTAATTAGCTCTTACAACTTAAATTAACCCATATTTTTATTAATATACATTCTACCATGTAGCTTTTATCTCTATCCCATTCTGTGTGTCTGGCTGGCTTCTCCACCCTTCTTCCTCCCAGCATTCTCTGTGCCTGCATTTTCTGCTTTGCTATTGGCTGTTCAGCTTTTTATTAAACCAATCACAGTGATTCTTCACACAGCGTAAAGGAATATTCCACAACAATCTTGTCTGGTTTTATTACTGTTGTTGTTTTGAGACAGTCTGTTTACATAGCCCTGGCTGTCCTGGAATTCATTATATAGTAGCCTGGAACTTGGTTTTTCTGCTTGCCTCTGCCTCCCAACTGCTGGAATTAAAGGCATGCACCACCACACCCAGGTTGTCTGCATTTGCTTGCTTGTGTGTGTGTGTGTGTGTGTGTTTGTTTTGTTTTTTTTTTCGAGACAGGGTTTCTCTGTAGCTTTGGTGCCGTTCCCGGAACTAGCTCTTGTAGACCAGGCTGGCCTCGAACTCCTAGAGATCCGCCTGCCTCTGCCTCCCGAGTGCTGGGACTAAAGGCGTGCGCCACCACCGCCCGGCTTTGCTTGTGTTTTTGTTTTTATTTTAATAGCAGTGGTCCTCAAATGATGAAAGGGAATGTTTTGTGCTTCACAAGGGACATTCAACAATGTCTAGAGATTATGTGGATATAAGGACTTGAAGAAAGCCAGGGACATCTATTTAGTAGGCAGAGGCTAGAGACACCAGCAAACATCCAACTGTAAACAGGACAACTCCCTTGACCCTCCAGTAAAGGGTGTTTTAGCACAAAATGTCAATAGGGCGAGGTTGAACAACTCAGGATTAGAGTATCATTGATACTCTAGGAGCAAAAAAAAAAAAATTTTCAAAAAAGACACTTCAGTTCCAATTCTTCCAGTCTCTGAGATGTGTGATGCCAAATGCTGAAATTGCACATAGGAGAGTGTTCTGGAACTCCCTAAGGAAATCAGGAGCATCAGCTTTGTAGTTTATTGGCTGTGTTTTATATGACCCTAGACACATCACAGAGCTATAAAACCTAAGTCAGTTCTTCCACGCTCAGCAGCTTATAACACAGGCCCACAGATCTCCCTAACAGGAATAAGAGGGTAAAGAATTAGACTCATATTCTGAGAGCATGAAGAACGGGATCTATAGGAAGAAAAAAAAAGAAGAAAAAGCACATTATTCTCACCACTTTCTAATGTATTGGCTGGAAAAAAATAAATTAGTTTCTTATCTACATGGTCTCTACTATTGCTGTTAACTTACAGATTTTGAAGCAAGCTATTCACATTGCCATGTGAGTTTGACACTGAGTGTGCTGTTCTAGCTCATGTTTTTTGAGTAACAGTCTAATAGTGGTAAAAAAAAAAAAAAACAAATTAGACACTTCTTAAAGGAGGCACAACCTTGAGTGAGAATCGGATCGCCCACTTTGAAAGTCTTGTCACAGTTAGCATCGAAGGGGAACAAACACTCGCTGTATGAAGCAGGTACAGACCCCCTATTATCCCACAGAGCATGACAGCAAGCTACACTCACGCACGCACGCACGCACGCACGTTACCTTAGAAAAATACCCTAAGGGAAATCCGTGAGGATTATCTGAGCCACATGCTGGCTGGAAGTCCTCCCCAACTTCTGCAAACTAGGCCAGCTGTAGGAGAATGTCACAATTAGTAGATGTCATAAGGAACACATTCTTTGACAATCTGAAGGTCACAAGGGATGTGGGTTCGCTACAGTACTTCTAAAACGAGTTTACTAAATCCGTCAGAAACTTCTCCTTCAGCAGTATACGTTCCATTAGTAAGAGACAAAAATAAATAAATAAATAAATAAATAAATAAATAAATAACCACCTCCAAGAACAGTGGGCACTTGCTCACACTGGAGACCTTCTGAAGCTCACACCTTTCTACTTCTAGGGATCTGTTAGCTTTCTGCTCACAGTGCACACTTCCATGAGGCCACTGTGTCTGAGCCTTCAAGTGTTTGACTGGAAGAAGCTTGCACAAATGAAAAAGGACACACTGGGAGGAACTTAACAACACATGAGGGTGGTTGTGAGTTTCTTAGCACACCAACTGATTCTGTCTCAGTGTGGATACGTGGAAACATCTGTTTCGAACCATTGTGGGAAGAATGTGGGGACTGGCCAGAGGTTCTCTCTCATCAAGTGCTTCTTACATCTTCTTGACCTAAGAGAGGGCCTCTGGACTGGGAAGGAAACAGAAGTGGTCTTGGCATCATATCCTTTCACCAAACAAAACAAACACCACATCCTTCTACTGTTTGACGGGTTTCTTCACAATACAGAAAGTCTCCAAATTTCCCCCTTTTGTTTATTTTTGAACTCCTCACCCAGTTGCACCAGAGTTCCT